CTAATTTCCATAAAATATGATAAAATAAAGGAAATTAGTATAACTTTGTAAAAATAACCATTAAATTCCAAAAATTAGTAGAACTTATGATGATAATTATTTCTAATTATCAAATAATATGAACCTAAATAAATTACAATTATTTGTCAAAAATTGCATTTCATTTTCCCGTGCATCGCACGGGTCCCTGCTAGTTTTTTATTACATAATAAGTTGACACACGTGTGAGATGACTACTTCAAATGCGTACCAGTGTATTTTTACCAAATAATTTGTGTTGTTTCTAATTTGGAAGTATGGTTTTCAATTTTTTTAACCAAACGAATTTCAAAGTAAAAGTGAAATTTGTACTTATGTACTTTGGTACTCTAAAAAGGTACAAAGTACAAAATCAAACCAAATATAACAACGGGAGAATGACGATTCAACCCAGGGTTAGAATTTTTAGGCCCAAAGTACAGTTCGGGTGGGTGCTAGATTGGAATTGATGCCAATTCATAGGTAGGCATTGGTGTATAGAGTGAGGGTTTTTGACCTTTTGAATGTTTATAGCTCTGCAGTGGAATTCAGAAATCTGCATTGAGCCTGTCCGTACTTTTCCCAAAAGTTTTTGGAATTCAAGAACCCCAAAACCATTATAAATTGGACCTCATACTCGTATATAAGGGGAATGACAAATAGGAGACCCACATTCTCTCTCTCTCTCTCTAAACTATAAGTCACTATCCTCCTACCTATCTCCTTATCCAAGTCATCGTCAAACTTTCATCGACGCACCTTTGCACCTCTCCTTCGAAATTTAGTAACTAACAAACTACAACAGCCTCATCTCTCAACGAAGGGTATGTAGCTAGCCACTCAAGGGAAGGGTTGTCAATGGGTCAGGTCTAGATCAGAATCAGTTAGAACCGGAACCGATCTAACATGAAATATTGAGGACCCAGACCTGATAGGGTCTGTAATTTTTTAACTCATAACCAAAACAATCAGTTCTCAAGACAATTAAGTCTGACCCAACAAACCTTATTATAATAACTAAAAAATAAATATTTATGTTTAATATATATTAAATATTCTATATCTATATAATTTATTTATTTAACATATTATACATAATATATATGTATATATATACATAATATATTTATTTAATATATATATGGTCGGGTCTGAATCAGTTCGAGATTAGGTGGAACCGGTTCTAAACCAATAGTAATCGGGACCCTATATCGGGACCCGGAACCGACCCATCAGTTCTAGTTCCCAGAACTAGAACCTGCCCGATCGGTTTGGGTCCGTTGAGTCAGACCCGACCCATTAACAACCCTACTCAAGGGGTCTAGCCAATTCTATTCCCTTCTTCCCCTTCTTTGGTCTAGACAACCATTCTCTTTGGACTTTTGGAGTTAGACCATCCTCATTCCAATTGCCTTACATCAAAAATATCTGGTTATACTCCGAGAATGATACTCTTAACTAAGTAGTTGTAGGACCTTTAAGGGAATTTGATTAAAATTAGGGGTGGATTCAAGGTGAGCAAAGTTGAATATTGTATGTTAATATTATATACTTTTATAAATATTGTAGGACCTTTATTGTTTACAAAAATGAAAATTTTGGTTTACCAAATACTTGAAAATTAATTTTTAGTTGACCTTTTTGTCAATGTTAAAAATTAAAAATAGAAAAATAGAAAGAAATGATGTAATAATTGAAATACAATAGTTGCATATGTTTCATGCCTTGGACGTTAATAGAAAATAAAAAATAATGGCTTTGTGCATGTATTAATTTGTAAAAATCTATATAATTAACTAATATGTGTCTTGGACTCTTGATTGAGCATTATTAATAAAACTGTATGATATTTATGCATCCAACTATATTAACTGTAATATAATTCCATTAAAATATATAATTCCTATGTACCTATACATTATTTGTAGCTATTTTAACATGAAACATAATGTTATTAATACATTTATGGAATTTGTATGCATTTCACTAGGGTATCCTTATTTCTCCAAATCATATCCGTATTCGTATTTATATGCAAGTTGTCTCCAGATACAATAATACTTGACAAAAATGATTGATCCTTGATTAATTTTTAACTTCAACGCCTATTCCCTGTCCCTGAGTGTTATAAATGTTCTCTGTATCAAAATTTTGTTTTCCAAGCAAGTTTAGGATGCATTGATTTTTAACTTCAATCCCTATCTACGACAATTCTAGCCTTCAACCTACAACCTCTCACATCTCACACTTCAGCTTCTCACAAACATCGGCAACCTGGAATTTGCTTTCCGATAGGCGATAGATGTGGTGGTTAAATGAAACCTCTGTATTCTCCGCTAAAGCTGAAATTTCCTCCCACCAATATCGCAATTTCCAGGGCACAGAGACTAAGCCCTAACATCATATCACATTGACACCTTCGAATCAGCCTCTACAAAAACTTTGTCAAGGCCCAAAGCTTTTGCCAAGTATAGCCCATCCATTAGCGCCATCCCTTCACCATAAAGGTTTGTATTAACTCCATAGTGCTTATGGAAAGCACTAATAAAACCACTACTACTACATGAATTTCCTATAGCTAATCCATCTATATATTAAGCTTAACAAAGCCATTTGGAACAGCGGAGGGCAAGGTTTTAGGTCCATACTAACAAAAGCCAACATTTGGTTATGATCCAACCTTCCTAAGCTCACTACAAGAGTAAAAGTTTTTTGAATCCAATGTAGGACAGATCGAACAACCTCTTAAGAGCATCGATAAGAATTCTCCATTTTTCCTCTACTAGTGAATTCCAAGGCCTTCCAGATTTCTTTTGGAGATGCAAGTTCCTTGTAGAAGTTGTAGAGCCGGTCTGATAAGGCATTCAGTATGTGTCCTCGGCACAGAAATGAGTCATCTTCTCATTTTTCTCTTTCTTTCTTTAGTTTTCCTGAGACTTTGTCAGTGGGTTCAGGAAGTGATTGCAGATTCGGGTCCAGCAGATAGTATAGTTTTAGTGTGGTCAGAAAGAAGATCATCTTGTCTTGCCATCGGCTGAAGTTTGCTCCATCGAACTGGTCTAGTCGAACAAGATCTTGGTTCATCATCTCGATCGAAGTCATGCTTGCTTCCGCCTCCATTGCAGAATAACGTTCTAAAATTGTTGGAAAATGGGGTCACTGTAACTTTGAAGGAGAATCTCTGAGGTGCGTCTGAAGACACTGTCTTTATAACGTTATTTGCCCCCACTCAGTTTCACTGAGTTTGTTGTTGGGTTACAGGCAAATCCATTCCCATGACACAACAGAGCCTTGGGCGAGAATCGGCAACCAACAAAGTTGAAGAATCTCCGGAGAAACCTTCTGTAAGACTGTAGCAGAACAGACTGAGAGAGAGAGAGAGAAAGTGGATTTCGAAAAAGTGTGTTTTGAAGTCTGATTCATGCTCCTTAAATAGTTTATGAAGAGGTATGAAGAAAAGGTAGGTGTTGGTTCAGAGAATGCACCTTGAACAGTCACAATTTCAAACATTGTGACCGTTTAAAAAGTAGTTAACAGTTAATGACTGTTAACTTTGAATTGTGCCTCTTGATCACACCCGATCGAATCGTGACCGTTGATCAACAATCAGCATTGCACCAAAACCAAAGCCGCCCTTCGCGAGCCACGCGGGTGTGAGCAAAGTGTGCCTCATTGCGCCGCACACACGCGTGTGCGCGCGTTGCACGGTATCAAACCCCCATACTCTCCTCTACTATTTCTAAGGAGTGTAAATCAGCTCCTATTAAAATACTAAAAACAAAGCTTATAATTTTCCAATGTGGGACAAGTTCAAAACAGGGTTTTGTAAGAAAAAAGCTAATTTTTCAATCAAGTGTGTAGGTGCAATTTCTCATGTAATTGACCAATCAAACCCATTATATATGCACACTATTCTGCACATTCAACCAATTAAAGATGATTTTGTGAACTCTTTCGTTACCCCAGAAATCCATACCCAAGCATGCATCTACTAAAAAATGTCCAGACTTTCTTCGCTAGACAGCCATGAACAAATAAATGATGGGCATCTTCATTATCCTTCTCCTTACAAACACACCTCGAGGCTAACTAGATACCAATTAATGTGTTGTAGATCAAAATCAATTCCCACTCTTCCCCGAAGTAACTTCCACACAAAAAAAAAAGAGATTTTAGAAGGAATTTCTCTACTCCAAAGAGCTTTACTCCAAGTTACCGGCCTCCTCATGAGAAGTTCTTAAGAAATTCCACGCACTTTTTGACGTGAACTTATTACCATCAGAAGTTGCCAACCACACCACCTTATCCTTCTTGTTGGTAGCTGAAGTCTAGACTGCTTAATCGTATCTTTTTACTGAGGTAAAAGAAAGGACTTCATCGGTTCAAGATTCCAATCCCAATCAATAGATAAAACATCCTTTAGTTGTATCCTAATATTTACTGCTTCAACATCCACAACTTTATCAATTAATGACCCTTCATCAAGCCATTTATCCAGCCAGAAATTTAACCGTCCTTCACCCACAAGCCACTTAGAACCAGTTAAAAACTAAAGAGCTTCAAGAATAATTGGGCACAATGAAGAGGCCATCGGCATTGATCCATATTTATAATAAGAAAAGGTTTACAAAAATGGAAACTCTATCTTAGGTAGAGTTCTACAGAGATAACAAACAGTAATGTTCATCTCTTAGGATAATGACTATCCTAAGAGTACATCTCATTAGGATAACAATTATCCTAAAGTTTTAAGGATAATTGTTATCCTAAGGATGGACTTTTATCCTAACTGAAATACATGTGGAGATAGTGTATCTCTAATACTCTAATACGCCCCCTCAAGCTCCATGCTCATCAAGAACATGGAGTTTGTCTCTCAAGAAATAGAACCGATCGCCTGCAAGTGGTTTGGTGAGAATGTCAACAACCTGATCATTGGAGGAGTTAAATCAAAGACTTCGTTGTCGTGCAAGAACAAGATCTCAAAGAAAATAAAAGTCAACCTCAACATGTTGGGTGCGAGCACGAAAAACAAGGTTGGCAGCAAGATAAGTGGCACCAATGTTGTCACACCAAATAGTAGGTGTCTCAGAAAGTGTGACTCCAAGATCCCGAAGAAGAGATGTAATCCAGAGAACCACAGTAGTTGTTGTGGCACAAGCACGGAATTCAGACTCGGTGCTAGATCGTGCGACTGTAGCTTGCTTGCGAGACCTCCAAGCAACTAAGTTAGGACCTAGAAAAATAGCAAAACCCTCGATAGATTGGATATCATCTAGACAGCCTGCCCAATCAGCATCAGAATAAGCATGAAGTGAAAGAGAAGAAGAAGATGCCCGAGAGAGGTTCAGACCATGCATAATAGTGTGTTTAAGGTAAGGCAAGATATGTTTGACGGTTGCCCAATGTTTGACAGTTGGAGACTAGAGAAACTGAAAGGCTTTGCTTACCGCAAACGAAATGTCCGAGTGAGTGATCGCCACATATTGAAGAGCACCAACTATGTTTCTGTATTCTGAAGTCATTGAGGGGACAACCACCATATCGAGAGAGCTTAGGATGAACAGCCATGGGAAAGGAAATGGGCTTAGCAGACTCCATGTGAGCCCGTTGTAGAAGATCTGTGATGTACTATCGCTGACTAAGAAGTACCCCATGAGGATGTTAAATGAGTTGAATACCAAGGAAGAAGGCGATAGGACCCAGATCTTTGAGAGAGAAGTGTCGAGAGAGCTCCTGAATGCAACTGTGGCTAGCAGTCTGGGAGTTCTCAATAAGCAAAACATCATCCAGATATATGAGCAAGTAAAGTGTAACAGTCTTGGAGCAGTACACAAATAAGGAGGTATCAGTTGTAGAAGCTCGAAAACCCATCTGGGTTAGTTGGTAAGTGAGACAAGCATACCAAGCCTGAGGTGCTTGGCAAAGCCCATATAGGGCTTTGTGCAACTTGAAAACATGGGACGGTTTAGTGGGATCTTCGAAACCCTTAGGTTGTTTCACATATATATCCTCACGAAGTTCCCCGTTAAGAAACACCACTGATGAAAAACTACAAGAGAGAGGATAGTACGGATGGTGACGGGTTTCACAACCAAGCTAAAAGTAGCAGTGAAGTCGACCCCAGGAATTTGAGTGAAACCTTATGCCACCAAGCATGCCTTGTACCTATCAATAGTATCATCTGCCTTTCGTTTTACCTTATAGATCCATTTGCTTCCTACCACATTCATGTGAGAAGAATAGGGGACAATGCTCCAAGTACCATTAGTAACAAGAGCATTGAACTCCTTAGCCATAGCATCACACCAATGAAGAGATTTTACTATTGGGGAATAGCTGGATGGTTTTGTAGTATCATCTTGTGATTGAGCTAATAATGATTGTGGTAAGGGATACCTAGTCGTAAGATGAGAATGGGGAGGAAGGGAACCGTCCATAGATCTTGTAATCATAGTATGTTGGCAAGAATGCCGAGGTGCGACTAGAACTATTGCATCAAGAATGTCCTGCACAAGATGAGTTTCGCGTGGTCCAACCTCAGGGGAAGGTATACTTGGTGAAGAAGCTGATGAATGGTTAGGGTTGTCAGAGGGTGCCGAACCAGCAGTAGAGAAGTGGGGACCGACAACACAGGAGAAGCAGTTGAAGACACGATGGGAATCTACAAACAAACACCAGTTGGCTGCATAGGATCTGATGGAGCAGCCGCAGAGAACCCCAAAAAATGATGCTCATCAAAGATAGCATGTCGAGAAACATATTCTCTCCCAATTCTAGAATGTAGATAGCAATAACCTTTGTGTTTGTCGTTGTAGCCAAGGAAGATGCATTGTTGAGAGCGCTAGCCAAACTTGTATCAATTGTAGGGCCTAAGCAGAGGGTAGTAGCACACCCAAAAATTTTGAGAAACCAATAATCTGGAGGAGAACCGAACAGAACTTCATATGGAGATTTGTGCTGGAGAGTGCTAGTCGAAAGCCAATTAATTAAGTAAACAGCTGTAAGAGCGGTATCCGCCTAGAAAGAAAAGGGGAGAGACGAGGAAGCCAGTAGAGACAAGGTTGCTTCGATGACATGACAGTGTTTCCGTTCAACACAACTGTTCTGTTCATGTAAGGACTAGCAAGCCAGTGAGTAATGCCGATGGAGTCCAAGTAAGAAGAGAGCTTCCGATATTCTCCACCCCAATCAGATTGCAGAGCCTTGATTTTTGTACTAAATAAATTTTCAACATGACGCTTAAAAGACAAAAATACATCAATGACATCTGACTTTCATTGCAATGGAAACAACCAAGAAAATTTACTATAAGCATCAATGAAAATTACATAGTAACGAAACCCTGCATTGGATAAAATTGGGGCTGGTTCCCATACATCCGAAAACACCAAATCTAATGGACTAGAAACAACTGTAGAAGAAAGGGGAAGAGATAACCTATGACTCTTACTTACTTGACACGACTAACAAACTAAATTAGGACTGAAATTCAACTGACCTTCATATGGTAATCTGAACTGAGTGACAACTAGCCTCACAATCCGCATGGCTGGATGCCCAAGTCACTTGTGCCAATCATTAACGAAAACACACTCCCCAACTAATGCAGAAGACTGATTTGAACTAGTCAACTTTCCCGAAAACTGATATAGACCGTCTCTACTAGTTCTTTGTAGCAGGATGTTCCCCATATTATCCTTCACAAGAAAATAATCACCACGAAATTCAAAAAATAATTTGTTGTCACGAGCAAATTTTTTAACAGATAACAAATTTTTAGATAATTCCAGCACATGAAATATATTATTTAAAGCAAACTGATGAGTAGTAGTGCTAATAGTTGAAGAACCAATATTTTTTGATTGCCAAACCTGAACTCTTCCCAATTTTGACTTGATTAGTTCCTCCATATTCAGATCAAACCTGGAAACTATCGATGTCAGGTGTCATGTGATGCATGGCACCACTATCTAGATACCAAGTTGGATCAAATGAAGACTGAGTGGGAGCAATGTTGTTGTTGTAGGCAGCTTGTTCTGGTTCTTTGTTTTTGTAATTTAGATCATAATGTCGGCAACATTTTACAACTCCAAGTCCCAGTTTGTTGCACAGTTGACAAACAATTTGACTACCATGTCCTCTACCACCATTATTTGTGCGGTTGTCTGAAGAACCGCGCCCCCTGCCTCTCCCATGGGTGTTCCCAGGAGTAGTGTATTGATTGTTGTTCTAACTCTTGTTTTTGAAATTAGTAAAATTAGTTGTAGGGGTGTGGTATCAACTGGAGTAGCATTCTACTCTAGCCAGCCCTCATGGCCAAGAAGAATGCCTAAAACATCATCAATATCAAGGTCCTCTATATCGGACCTATTAGTAACAGTAGTCACAACAGATTCATATTTTGTTCCTAATCCAGTTAGTATATAAAGAATTAAGTCACTCATCTTAATGGGTTCTACAACAGCTGCAAGGCTATTATCTATGGATTTTTTCTTTCCAAACATATTCAGAAATAAACATACCTCCTTTCTTGAGACTCTAAAGTTGTCTCCCGTACTAAAGCAACCTAGAGCGTGAATAGTTGTCAAAAGACTTAGCGAAGGCATCCCATGAAGGAAAGGGAGATCCATCATATGGATGGCCAAACCATGTAGGGTGGCTGAGCAAAATTTCAAAAATTTCTTTTTTCCCTTCCGGGAATCGGATTCCTAGTTTTAGAAAAATTGCATTTTTCAAGGGTAGTTCTTGAAACAAACCAGACCAGATCTGAAACCAAAAGAATGAAGAGCAATACCTGATATGGAATCCACACGTGTACCTCCCAACATAGGTGTTCACGCCCAAAGAGGGTACCAAAACCCGTCTCCACTGAAAATGGCGCAGCTTGAGATGAAGCAAGTTCAACAATGTAGTCCTTCAGCAAGGATCAAACAAGCGATGGTGGGCATGAATTTAATTTGATTTTTCTTGCAAAAATCAGAATCTAAACTGATCTCTATCAATCCAAGAATGGAGGTCGAATTAGGGTTAGGGCATCAAGAGCAGAAGGAGAGAGAACTGAGAGTTGTGTGTAAACTTGGAGTAATTCACCCTCCTCTATTTATATAGATCTTAAAGAGCTAATCTTCTAATCTAATTAGGAGTTTCCTAACCCAAATCTTTATTTGGATCTAGACTCTTTAAGTGGATAAGACTTATCCTCTTATCCTTATCTGTTGATCCATACCCAAATTCGCCCATGATGGTTAATCCAATTAATCTTTGGGCCCTAGGCCCATTAAGTAAATGGCTCACGTCCCTGGTCAATTGTTGGCTAACTTGGCTCTTTTTGTATGGCGTGGGACCCTAACATTGACCTCACAAAAGCCATATGGGTTCATCCTATCTTCTATAACAAATTCACTACTAAGCATAGTAAAACTCTAAGTCCATTAGTATGTGCTCTTAATAGGCCCAACATTTACACTAAATGGTCCTTGAGTCCAGCCCTCTTATGAAGGCCCAAGGACAATGGTCTTAAGTGAGATTAGCCCATTAAGTATAAAAGCCCTAAATGGTCTTACACTAAACTTCTCAACCCTTAATGATCAAACACTGTTTAATAAAAGAGGACATCTCCCTAGGCTGCGAGGTACAGTGTCGCACTCTCTGTGGATGAATCCCAAGAATTAAAACCTTTTGCAAACATTTTTCATAAATCATAATATATATATATATTGCAAAACAAATCTCAAACAAATTTGAAATCAACTGCTGGCAATTTAGGTTTCGATCAGAGAGAGTGTTGTCTCCGACCATTCACTTTGTCTAACAAAGAGGTTGATCTTGTCACTATGATCACCCACTCGAGTAAATTCTCATACTGTCCCAACATACCCAGGTTTTGACCCCCGCTAAGGATCTTATTGATTGGTATATCAAAAACAGCCCAATCCAACACCTATTGCAATACAATAATCAAGTCTAGGGGTTAGGTGTAATTTTTCAGTTTTGCCCACTCGTCTCCAAAGTCTAGGGTATAACTGGAAAATGATCCAGATTTACTGTTTCAAATAAACACACACTACATGTGCTTCGGGTCTAACCCTGGCAGATGAGACAAGCTACCCCAACCGACTTGGCAGCACATTAGTGTCAGCCTTAGCAGGATAAACCTCCCTAGGTCTATCCAATGGCTGTAAACATTCTAAACTAACACGAGTCTCATAAGTGTCCAATTTAAGGGTAATTACACAGAAACACACCAGATATAACATGAATCAATTATGTACTTTTGTTCATTTACAATAAATGGATATGTGCATCAATCTGATTGGAGCTAAGGGAATACACTATCTAACATTCCAAACATCATGGGATGATCGATGTCCTACAACTTGAGTGAACATGTTCTCTGTGAGCGATGCAATAATCCAAGAAAAAAACTAGTTGATCTTTCTCAAACCATTTTGAATGTGCTGGAATGAGAACCATCTAATTACCATCGATCGGATCCGGTACATACTGTGGTGGTGCAGCAGCAATTGATCCATCTGCATACCCCATCAATTTATTTATGTAGAGGATCGGCAGCAACTGTGCCTTCCAGAGCGGGTAATTGTCATTGCTAAGCATGATGGGAAGATAGTGTACCCCACTATGCTGGGTTGAATTTGAACCTATTGTGTTGCTGGAGGCAGACGCACCTGTTGAGTGCTGAGACTCAGAGCTGAAACCGCTGGAAGCCATGGAATCGAAAAAGGCTCTGATACCAAGTTAAAAACAAGACAGCTTTAAGAATAATCGGGCGCAATGAAGAGGCCATCGGCCTTGATCTGTATTTATAATAAGAAGAGGTTTACAAAGATGGAAACTCTATCTTAGGTAGAGTC